GGCTAAGTCGGGACGTTGAGCGCGAGAGTTTATCCGATTTCATTGAGGTGAGTCTTCTCACTATACATTACCTAGAGTGGTATTTATGTGTAGACCAGAGGGTCTTGTATGCTATGTGTATATATATGAGTTATGTGCATTGTGTTATATGTATGCTATGTGTTGAATAGACCGGGCCGGAGGGCCCAACGATATAGACCGGACCGAAGGGTCCAACGACACAGACTGGACCGAAGGGTCGGACGAGCTATGATCAGACCAGAGGGTCCAACGAGCTACGAGACTGGAGGGTCCCGCTGAGACACATCGACCGGAGGGTCGTATTGTAGCCTCGAGTGGCGTATCTGTTGCATGTGGTATTTTGGGGAACTCACTAAGCATTTATGCTTACAGTTGTATCCTACCTGATTGCAGTGAAAACAAATCAGACTCGAACCCCGTGGACAATATCTGCTAAAATGACCATCCTGGCCATAAATAAAGTAACCCCTTCCTTCCTCATCTCAGCTCTCCTTATGAGTCCTCCTGCACTTGAAAAAATGACCCTGGCCCTGATGGCCTCCCGATCACAAATCCCGAGTCTTAGGCATCTTTACCTGACCAACTACGGTCTGAACCTGCTTCGGCACACACTTCGTTTCAAGCTGTAGCTCAATCTCCCGTTCCTGGGCTCTAGCAATCATATCATCCAAAGTCTTGCAGCTCGACAGGCTAACAAACTCTCAAATATCATCCCGTAGCATCTCATGGTACCTCATCTTCTTTATCTCCTCATCCGTAGCGTACTGTGAAACCAACAAAGTCCTTTCCCAGAACTTGGCGGTGATCTTCATTGCTTTCTCTGTCGTCTGGTGGAGGTCATGTAACTCCCTTTCCAACTTCTACACCTCAATAGCCAGTGCAAACTCATCCCTAAACCTCGACACAAAATCATCCCAAGTCGTGGCTGCCACTACCTCTGCTCCCAAGGAGTGACCAACCTCCTCCCACTGGTGCTCATTACTATACTAAAAATCAACTATACAAATGATCAGTACATACCCAAAGAATCCTCATTCCCCAGACTTCTTAGAATCCTCACAGCTTTCCTTGATTTGAGTACGGATCCTATGCTTTCAGTAGTAGGAGCCAAATACTACCTTACACACCTATCCATACTTTTCTCAAGACAACCCAAAACCTCTAATCCACCTTCTCATACTGATACCCCCAATACCCTCTAAACAACACTCCACTCCCACTAAAGCACTTCCAAGGCTCTCCTAAGATCCCTACCTCACCTTGCCATAACTTGCTGAAAAACTCCTACTAATGTCAGCTAGCCACTTCATGAATACAATTACATGCAACAAAGCTTAAATAATCCTTCAACTAAAATACTCAACCCTACAATGGTTGGACTCAGATAAGAGCTGCGCAATAGGGCCAAATCAATCACTCTAAAGATTATCTAACCTTTGCAGCATGTAACTTAACATATTCATTTAATAGTTAACTCACATTAATATGAGTTCTAAAAATCATAAAGCAAGCAACATTCGCACGATAAAACGCTATAGGCCACGAAACATCAAAAGGCATCCTTCCTAATAGGCATCTTTCTAATAGGCATTCTATCATGCAACCCTGCTCATATCCTCATGATAACTCCTAGCATGCAAACATCCTATAACACATATAACATATCAACATGTATGGGTATTTTGGGAATCACTTACTTGAGCTCGGCTGATTGCATGCATCACACCCATTTCTTTGTAAAAAATCCTTTTTAGAAACTTATTTTCTTAAAAAAAAAGACTACCAATTCCTCAATGTGAGTTTAGATACACCGGAGAGTGTGCTTGAATCCCTCAAACCAAGGCTTTGATACCAACTTGTAATGTCCTAAAAATATTGGCAAAAATTTTCATTCTTAAACCATCAAGTGATACAATCATATATTACAAAAGCAAAACATTAAAGATGTATTTCTCAAACGTCAGAGTAAATCATAAGTAATCAGTGCAGAAAAGCCTTTAGAGGATGCAGTGTAGTCAAGCCGGGCCCTTCCATTTGGAACTGGAAGTACCTGAAAATCTTTAAACCAAAAAACGTAAGCACAAGGCTTAGTGAGTTCCCCAAAATACCACATACCATACATGCCATTGACCCCACCCACATATCGAGCCCCGCCCACTTAACGGGCCCTACCCATCATACATACAGGCCCAACCCAACATACGATCGGGCCCCGACTAGTACACATACGGGCCCATCCCAATATACAAATGGGCCCCACCCATCATACAATGCAAGAGTCACAAAGACAGCTAGCATCCTACATAGTATAGTGAGAAGACTCACCTGACTCACGAAGTAACCTAAACCACCGCTCAAAGCCACACTACCGGTGCTACAACACACCAAATCATACGAGGTCCAACCTTAGTCTATACATAAAAACCAAAAATCTTGACCAAAAGTCAACCCATGTCAAAATTCAAAGTCAACGCTCCAAAGTCAAACAACCAAAAACACTTTAGCGATTTGCCACGTTATGGCCTCCCATTGGCTACGTCGTGGCAGCAAGATGACAACAACTAGGGCTCACTCAACTCATGACGGGAAAGTGCCACATCGTGGGAACTGGTTCTACAGCAACTTAATGCATTAAGATGCTTCCCACTACACCAAGGGCTACAAAGCTCATATATACTTATTCCTAAGGTCTTAATGGATAACGTTTCGAACTTTATCCCTTAGGACATCCCCATACACCAAGATCTCAAAACCTTGGTCGTATTGGCAACTTAAGGTATGACTCAACCATTGTCCATTAAGCACTTAATCATAAAATCCATTTCCCTAAAGTTTCTAGAAGGGTTTCCTACACCTAATGGACCATAAAAATTGCAGCTTTATGGACATGCATGTCCAATGCATGTCCTTCCCAATTTAGGTCATAATCATGAGAAAATGAGTTTAAACTTTTTCATGTGACCAAGTCCTCCAAGATACTCCATATCTACAACATATGACCTCAAAGAGACCTGATGGATCCATAAAGTTACAAACTTTATGGAATCTATTTCTTCAAATATTCACAATCATGAAGAAAAGGGACAAGAAATCTAGATCTAGAAGCATATCACCAAAAAGCTAAGATCTTGAACACTTACAAAAGTTTAGAGCATGCAAAAGAGAAGGATGATAAGTCTTGCTTGCTGGATCAACACACTATAACACTTTCTTCTTCTTCTTCTTCAATCCCCCAAAAGCACCAAAATGAGCTAAAATCACCAAGAGAGGCTAGGTTTAGGGTTTCTGAGGTTTGAGGATAATGGAGGCCGACAAAGATGACCTAGAATGGGAGTTAAAGTTTTTATATACGAGAGAAACCCTAAAATCCCTGGGTTTTCGGCTGCAGCGACTGCCATGTCTTGGTCATTCTTTGCCACGCCGTGGAGCCCACTAAAATACATGTTTAAAATAACCTTGCCACGTCGTGGGCTTCCATGCGCCACGCCGTGGCATGGATTTTTTCCTAAAAATTCCATCTTTGATTCCGCTAAGTTTCAAGCTACACTAATATGGAAAACGGGTGTTACAAAATGCGATCTTTGACAACAAATACACTAGCACTTGAATAGGATCTTCATGGTTTAAGAGGAGAACAATTTAAGGAGGGTTCTATTGAATATGAACGTATCCCCTTTAATGTTTTCAACTTGTGACTGTAAATTGAAGATTTTAAGCATGTGACTGATTCTATCTGGACTTCGAATGTGATTGTTCCTAAGTTAGAAATGATCATACAATAGTTCTCATGAGGATATTTTAAACAAGATTGGTAAAATTGATATGAATATGCATAATGGGGTTGCTACTACCGAGAAATTAGGGAAATATTGGGAAATACTAGTAAGTTGGTTTAGCTAGAAAAAGAGAGTATATCCAATATTAGACACAACCCAACCCTAGCATTTTGGAGGCCTTCGGCGAAAATCAAAACGAGCCCCCATAAAAAAATTTCTTGTAAAATCTTATTAAGTAAATTAACTACCACTAAATTCAAAACTTAAAGTTGCTAACAAATTGTAACATCCGCATTTCCAAGTATTATTCTTTGAAGTTGTCTTGTGTTTAAGACTTGGATTTGGAGATTTTTTCTCCCCTCGGCGTGGTGGTGGCACATCACCACGACGTGGAGCCGTAAGGCGCACAAAACCCTATGCGACGTGGAGCCGTAAGGCGCACATAATCCTATGCTTCGGGCGTTGGGTCATATTTAAAGGATGCAAGGGCTACGGTTTCGACCACCTTGAGTCTCCCCTCACCCCAAAAGCATCCATCCAAACCCTAACTCATATCTCTCCATTTTAAAAAAAAGAATATATGTTTAAATTTCATATTTCATAATTTGAACATTGGAGGATTAAGTTTTATGTGTTCAAACCAAGAGTTCCACATAATAGTAATTTTCCAATCTTCTAATGTATAGTCACAACTTGAAGAAAGTGAATCTAGGTACTATAACCTACATCTAGATGGATGAAGGAAACTGATTTGAGATCTTCATTTTCGTTGGTTTCATGACAAACTTCATTTTCTTTAGAGATTTTGAGTGGTTGTTTTCTTATACAGTTAATAGTAACTCCAATCATTTGTAGATTCAAAAACTTAGAATTTGTTAAAAAAAGAATATAAAACATAAGCAATCCCAACCTTTTTTAATTAGCTTAAAATGTAATAATTAGTTAGTTTAATAAATTGTATAAATGTTCGAGTAAGGGGCTGTTTGGCAGGATCTGAATTTTTAAGAGATCTGAATTTCTAAGAGGGTCTGAAATTTTAAGAGCTGAATGTTTAACATGTTGTTTGGTTGGGACCTCTGAATTGTTGTGCTAAATTATTAAAATGACTATTTTACCCTTCTGTTTTATTTTTTATTGAATTCAACTGTTTGTTTAGAAAATAACCTAATAAATTTCTTAAATACGTATTAAAAAAATATAAACACCATATAAAATCCAAATTTAGCAAGTTTATTCTTACATTATGCATAAAAATGCAAGTTTATTCTTACATTATGCATTTAACTCTTCTAAAACTACGACATAAACAAGGATTTATAAACAAATTTACAAACTACCATAACTTATACATCCTCTGATGTCAAACAGTGTTTGTAACTTTGTATCAAGTACAATATTTTTTCAAAACTTTAAAAAAAATTAAAAATTGAATCAAAATCTTTACTTCTTTCTCAAAGAAACCCGAGAGATCAAGGCTCCAAGACATTCCAATGAGCTCAAAAAGCATTGACATGGGTAGGTAATTCTTGATTTTCTACAGCCTGCAGCAAGAAAATTCAAGAACTCGATGAAAAGTTTCAACTTTTTTCAAAATAAAAAAAGTAGCATTTGATTTCTTACATTCTCTTGTATTGACAAAACTTCATCTTCATTAGGTTTTGCAGGAGTGTAATCTTGTTTAAACCATTCATCTACTTTAATATCTGCCATTGTTATCCTTTTCGGGTTTGGATCAAGAATTCTCTTTATAAGACTCTGTGCTCCTGGAGTCATCCATTTATGCATTCGCACATCCCCTTTGCAAATCTAGAAAAACCCCAAATCATTACAACATTAAAGAATCAATAAAGATTACAACTATATGCATTTTTACCTTCTGATAAATCAAAGCTAGGTTTCTATCATCAAAAGGTAGATACACTGTAAGCATTGCATACAAGATGAGTCAGATGACACCACAAGACCAAGTATCAGATGCCCCTCCATCATACCCTCTGTTAGATAACACCTCAAGAGCTATAGCCTTGGCATCTGTTAGATAAATCACAGCTAGGTTTCTATCATCACGTGTAGATTTCAATAAAACGATCTAACAACCCTAAAAACCATTTGTCTTCAAACGATTTCAAGAATAGAGTTAACATAAACTGATTTTTGGAAAATTAGAGAAAAACAAACCTAGTGCGTGATGGAGGTTAAGTGGCGGTCGCCGGCGCTGTCGAGGGAGGATACCAACACTGAAGAAGGTGGTGTTGTTGGAGATTGGCTTCAGAGGTCTGACCTTGGTGGTAGGAGTCGATATCAGAAGCTCTGAGAAACTCGTGTGTATGAGATCGACGATGGGGGCGGCGATGCTGTGCGACATCGACGATGGGAGGAGGTGAGAGGAGATTATCGACGCTAGAGATGGTCGGATTTGGGAGGAGATCGGAGGGATGATTAAGGCGGGTGTGTGTTTGATGGACGGGAGTACGAGGGCAAACGAGGGAACACCGCATTTTTTTTTTTCAGATATGAGCTGAAGTCTGAAAGTTTAAGAGGCTGTCAAAATATTAAGAGACTTTTATTCATACCCAACTAAACACTCTTAATCTGAATAATTAAGAGGTTGCCTCTTAATTTTTCAATTAAGAGGCTACCAAACAGCCCCTAACATTTAATGTGTAATGAGATGATTTGGGCTAATGGTGGCAATTGGGCTAAATCTGATGGGCATAATTGATGCTGGGCCAATGATATGTAGTTGTTTGGAAGAATGAAGAAGGTGAAGGACTGAAAGTATCGTAGCATAATAATCAAAGGGTTGCGGCTCGCTTCTAGATATTATCAAGGAAATCGCACGTCTTTCTTGACACAAAATATCATCCGGGTTTAACCCGAAGTATAAAGCTCTTCAAGATGAGAAAAGACGTCATAATTCACACTCTTCTCTTCTCGCAACTCTCTCCACCTCAATTAGTGTTAGGGTTTTATATTGTGTTGTGTATTCTTTGTATCATCAACAGATTGTGCAATATTATATATTGTAATCTTGCTGTCTAGCCTGTTTTTGTTATAATCTTCAACTGTTGTTCGGTGTTTACTTGTATTTTCAAACTAACTTGTTATTTAAGAGATTTCAGGTTAATGAATCATATCCGTTCTTGTTTAGATACTATTTATGCTTTTAAGTGAATTGTATGCGACCATTGATAATCGTGGAAAGTACCACTTAAAGAGAAAATATTTAGAACAACATGATTTAGCGGTTACCATTGAAGAAAACATCTAATGGAGTGATGATCATTAAACCACTGACCTTGATATACTTTAATTTTTTTTAGAATGCCACAAATGAGCTATGCATTCTTTAAGTAAGATGTTTATCAATCTGCATAGGAGGACTTAAACCATTGATGATGGATAAACATCAAGATTGCCAGCCACGTAACCACAATCATGTTCCTTTATCATAGGAGGGCCATATAAACGAAACACGTAATTGATATTGAAGGAAGGTGATCATATTTGTTGATTACTTGATGTATAAAAAAAACCCTTAAATATAGCGATTAGCAAGTAGAAAGTAATGGTCAGACTAGAGGAGCTTATGGTCTCTAATTTATTGAAAAATTGAAAAATGACTGATTATTAAAACTAGTGTTCCAAATAGAAAAGAGTTTGAATTTGTACTGTGAAAATGTGATCGCTTGCAGTTGTAGCCCTAAATCAAATTAAGTACTAACTATGGTAATTACTAGATCTTGAGATTCAAGTTACATAAACATAACTAGTATCAATTGTCTCTAAATTTGGGTACAAACTAAGTTTTTTGTACCCATCATCTTACAAACCGCTATGGATGATTTAATTGCCATGGTAGGGAAGATTACTTTAAAGTATACTTACACTTAGGAAGAAAATCAGTTTCATAGAACAATAATCGAAGGATTTTCAAGAAATTCATAAACATAAATATATTACAATGTTGCACACAAATCTAAAAGCGTTCATAAACCCAATAATAACACAAACAAGAATTTAAAACCTAATCTCAGTTGTGATCACATGTGGATTTAGCTTCTCGAGGGAAGATGAGGAAGATGAATACACAATGTTTTTCGGTGAACATTCTTCCAATAACAAATTTATCATCAAGTGTTCTACAATTCTTTATGGAAAGAGGTTTTAATCTTGATGAAAGATGGATTGGATGTGTTTTAGGGATGATTTGTAACCCTTGGAGGCTATAAAATGTAGGGAAAACCATCCAGGAAATGATGAAAGTTGACGATGCAAACATCCCTTGTTGAGTTGCTAAAATATGGCAAGTCAGACAAATTGTGGCGACAACATTCTAGAGGGGGTATTACACTGGTATAGGGCTGTAAACGAACCGAACGTTCGACGAAAAGTTCATGAACCGTTCGACGAGAAGTTCGTTTATGTTCGTTAATTTAATAAATAAACGAACATGAACACAAATTCTCGTTCGTTTAGTTAAACGAACACATGAATAATGGTCTCGTTCATTCATTTATGTTCGTGAACGTTCGTTTATGTTCGTTCGTTTAAGTTTATTTATGTTCAATTAGTTTTGATTATATTATTATATTATATGTTCGTTTATTTTCATATATATTCAATTGTGATTGTTTATCTTTGTTCATTTATGTTCATTTAGCATGTTCATGAACATAAACAAACGAACATGAACAATATAACTTATTAAACGAATGAACATGAACAAAAAAGTCATTTGTTTATCCATTTATTTTCGTTTGTTTGTTCGGCTAACTTAAACGAATGAACATGAACAAGCCTTGCATTGTTTTTTCTTGCTCTTAACCATCTTTTAAAATACTCTATAAAATGTTGTACATCCTTCGGTTCCCCACTTGGCATCTGTGTCTTTTCTTCTATGCTTCGTCAAATTACCGTCCTACAACAAAACTCTGCTAAAATGCTCTACAACACTGATCAGCGTCTAAGACATTGTCTATGACGCTGACAATATCTTAACACTCGTTAGTTTGTGTTTTCCCGAGATTGGTTTCCAGAGGGTAGATAAATTCTGGAATTAATTGTAGTCTTGTGCTTTCCAGAAATATATGGACCTTCCATAATTACCATTTGTCAGTATTCGCCTCCATCTTCTAAAATTGTCATTTTGCCATTGTTATACATTTTACGGATTTTAGGAGTATTTATACTATATATACTCAAGTTTTTGGTCTAGCATAAATTGAACAATTCTTACACTTCTCCGGTACTTTGCTTTCCATTTTATGCCTAAAATTAATAATGTCATGTTGTGGATTATCCTATATTGAAATTCGTGATAATCAAGACAGAAAAACTAATGAAACGAAAGATATCACATAGGAATGGTTGATTCCTTTTCTAGATGGTATACAAAAACGTTTTTCTCATTAAGTTGGGATGGTCCATTCCATTTTTCTTCTCATTAATGTGTACCACAATAACTTAAGAATTGTTTTATCATCAACCAACAAAAGAAATCCAAAAAACAATACATCAAACTCATCTAACACAATTCAAATATAGAATATGATTTTTGTCAAAGATACAAAGATCCAAAGAAGAATCCATAATTCACCATACTCTTCAAGGAATACCATAAATGAAATAACATTATTTCAAGTAATTTTTTAAAAAGACAGCTAACACAACAAAGTTAAACCATTGGTAAGAACCATCTTCAAACTACCATACCATTAATGCACAACCATTCTCCAACAAACACCTTCTGACAGTTCAAATTAGGATTGAAGGTATTGAAGGTAGAAGCCGTGAGATGGAAGGCCTCTATTATACTAAAGCATGTGTCCCCGACTTGTGTCCCGTAGATCTCGTTGCACACCAATGTTCCTTGCACTGTGAACCCTAGTAAACACCCACAACAAAAAATATATATCCATCAATAAAGGCACTTGAAATTCATTGTTATAAAAACGATGATGGAACTTACTGGTGTGAAAGGTGACTTTACTTTCTCCCATGGAGAAAGTAAGCGCAAGCAAAAGCAAGAGGATGCAGCTAAAAAGCATGGAGGCTTTGTTGTATGCCATTTTCGATCTTCAATCTGTTGGTCTATCAAGCGTTATCAATTATGAAAAGAATAGCGTGGAAAACAAACAAGCTAGTATAAATAGAAAAATAGATATAAAGATGTCGATGGAACCAACTATAAGAAGATAAGAAAAGCGAAAAAAATGGATATCCTCTCATTGTATACTACATGCAACAATGATGAAAATTAGATGCAAGTACAATGAAATGGCGTTATAAGCCATTTAGTCATTTACAATGTTTACAACCGAAAATAAAGTATCTGTGATTTTTCAAAACATGAAAATTAGGGTGTTAGTTCAACTGGTTTTCAATTTGGTTAGGTTTAATCGACTTTTTAACAATTTTAAATTAATCGTAACCAAAACAAATTTTAGATTAGTTTAATCAATCTCTTATTATTCGGTTTTGGGTTATTTGGTTCCGTTTTCCAGGTTAAACCGAAGTAGGTCACACATATTTTAGGCCAAATGTTTTTTTTTATTTACAAACGAGAAAATTAACATAGTTATTTTTTTTATTTTTTATTTTTCTCTTTGTCTTATATATTTTATTCCGTTCGTCATTATACCAAATGATATTTTATCAAGCAATAGTGCTTAACATTTTTATCAAAATCTTCAACTTATTAGTTTTACATTTTGCTAATTCGTCTTTGTAAATTGCAAACATAATTAACCGAACCCAAACTGAATAAGGTTATCCTTATTCGATTAATCGAACTGAATTCGAGGGAGTTATTTGATTTCAGTTTTTTAGGACACCCCTAATGACAATAACAGTTTAATTTAGTTATATATTTATTTGTTATTATTATTATTGTTATTGTTATTATTATTTTTAGTAGTTTTAACTTAAATATACATTTTCAAATAAAATAAATCATAATAAATGTAGTCTTTTTAAAAGACTTATTGTCATACTGATTAAAAAAAAATTGGAATGTTTTATAATGACAAACAGATTATATTCATTTTTTTAAGGAAATCGATCATTTGAAGTTCGAATAGCATAGGCTTCAACCTTCGGACGACATATTGTTCAAAATACATAAGACTAAAACAACCTAAGCTTGTCGTCCCCAAAGACTCTCTCCCAAATATGCATTGTGGGGCTGATCCTTATAATATGAGCAAGTGGCGAATCAATAGGTATTGTCGTATTGATATATCCTTCATCTAGTATAGGCCTAATATGACACAGTTGAGGGAACTGTCAACGCTATGAGGACGTGGGCCCACATTGAGGTCTTACCCTTTGCATCTAGGTCCATGGGGACTTCATCCATTCATATGGTTGTATGCGCTGCCACTAACGCTGATGCACTATTAATGGTGTCTTTAACATAGACAGATCCACGTTCATGACACTATACTCATCCTGAAAAAATATTCTTTAGAAACGGTTCCCTTAACTAACAAATAACGAATGATGATTTTAAAAAGTTTAATTAAAAGTTTGTCTCATGATCTATACAAGTCCCTCGTCATCAACCCTATCATTTAAGGGTCTCTCATCAACAACCCAGTCATATATGTGTCTCTCATCCTATTTTATTAGGTTAGGCAATGTTAATTAGTTATGAAACTAGTTAATATGCCAAGTTAAATTCTGTACCTCAAACTATGAGTTTTATGTATATGTAACTATCAGACTCTTAGGGAGGAGGGAGTCTTTCCCTCCCAACCCACTGAACCCACTGTCACAACAATTTTTTTACTTTTTATTTCTTCTATCTTTCCCAATCCACATCATATGGAAACCCTATCTTTTTGAACCCACTCAACCCACTTTCCATATCATTCTTTTTTTTTTTTTTTTTTTTTTTTGCTAATTTAAAAAAAATTCTAAATATTAAAAATAACATTTAATATTCTTTTTCATTTAATTAAATTAGAAAATATAAATTAAAATAAACCATAACATTTTTTTATTTTTTTTGCTAATTTAAAAAAAAAGTTCTGAAATAATATTTAAAATAACATTTAATTAAAAAACCACACTACAAATAAAAAAACACGATAATTATAAAACACGATAATTAAAAAAAATACACTTAAAAAAAGACAACATAATTTAAATCCTAAAACGTCAATTGAAATTAACTAGTTATTATCTAGAGTTGGAATGTAGACATGTTCAATGTGATCAGTAAGATTAGATCGAAGTTGGTGGTGGGTTTCAGCATTGCGTAATTCGTGTATTATTTCTTGGTCATCAACTTCGTCGGTGGGGGGATCGGGCTGATACACAGGAGATATCGCATCACCCTCATCTTTCAATATCATATTGTGTAGTATAATACAAGCGTACATTATATTTTTTGTTTTCTTCACCGTCATAGCTCGTGCAGGCATCTTTAATATGTCCCAACGTCCTTTAAGGACCCCAAAAACACGTTCTACATCCTTTCTTGCTGATTCTTATGCCACCTTGAACCGTATCTTTTTATCGGTAACTTGATATGGATATGCCTTCACAAATACAGCCCATGATGGATATATTCCATCCGCAAGATAGTAACCATGTTTGTAGTGTTCACCATTCAGATAAAATGAACAATCGGGTCCTGTTCCATGATATTTCTCATCAAACAATGGTGATTGGTAGAGGACGTTTAAATCATTGTTAGATCCGGCTACACCATAGAATGCATGCCAAAACCATAAATCTTGTGACGTCACCGCTTCTAGTATCATTGATGGATACTGATGGTCACCCCTCATGTATTGGCCTCTCAATTCCGTTGGACAATTCCTCCAATTCCAATGTGTGCAGTCAATGTTACAAAGCATTCCAGGGAATCCATGTCTAGCTTCATGGGCTTCATACAAAAGTTGAATGTCAGTGGATGTTGGACGACGTAAATATTCAGCCTTATACATTTGGACAACACCGTAGCAAAAGTTTTCAAGAGATTCACGAGAAGTTCTTTCTGACAGATTTAGATACTCATCTAACGAGTCTGGGTTATAACCCTTCGCTAATTGTCGTATTGTTGATGTGCATTTTTGTAGCGCACTGAAACTTCTTTGATTTGTTGCATCCCATGTTGTTTGAAAATAAGGATAATTCGTCTCCGGGTCACCAACAAGTCGCATAAACAAACCTTTGCTCATACGAAATCTTCTACGGAATTGCGCGTGACCATAAATTGAATCATCTGCAAAATAATGTCGGATCAGCAGTTGTTCAGCCTCTAAACGATCTTTGTGGATTGTGTTTCTCCTTTGAATGTTGCTTGAACTAGCATTATTCTGAAGAAGCAGTTATGCAGTACGAGACAATACAGGTAACAAATTATTGTTGATAAGTTCATCCTCAGATGATGAACTATCATCGTTAACTTCCATTACTATTTTCCGAATGTTTGGATTCATTTTGACAAAAGAGAAAAGATAGAGAGAAAAATGAAACACACATACATATATAGATAATGAAACAAGCATAACTATATATAGATAATGAAACAAGGATACATATAGAGAATCTTAATAAAAAGAAAAATAAAAATAAAAATAAAAAACATAATAATAAAGAGAAAAATTCTCCAGTCATATGATGTCGACATTTTGAACTTCACGGGTTCTCCAACTCCCAACCATACTTAGTTGCAATTTGTCGTTTCCTTTTAAGCACCGTGCGCAAAATACCTCCAGTCAAATGATCATGCGGCCGGAGAAAATACTCTATATCTTGGTTCTCTATCTCCCGATCCAATAATTGAGCTTTTCGTTCTTCATTAGCTTCGAGAATGCGTAATTTTTGTTCCCGATATCGTTGTCTCTGTTCCGCCTCTGTTTCGGTTGCAGTCTTGATGTCGGAAATTTGTTTGACGAGATCAAACATTTCATTTTCTGTTGATGATGTCGATGTCGCTTTCTTTCCTTTTCTTTTTCTCTGGGGCGGTGAGTCTTCAACACTAAACGACTGTTGTTGTTGGGGAGAGAATCCAGGAGGATATTATAGATCAGATGATGATGTGTAGGCGTTGGATGAAGATGTTTTGGTTCGTTTTGAAGAAGGAGGTGGGGAATCTTCACCCACTTTTGCAACAAATGCCCATTTCGCGTTGTCTTTCAACCACTCCCAAGCTTGTTGATGAGGAAAACCTTTCTGGTTAATAGTCCTCCGATACTCACTTAGTGAAGATTGTAAAACATCAGCCTCAGATCTCCCGCTAGCCACACTGCTCATCTTACGGTTATAGATGCCGTTGAAAGCATTATATTTCTTTTGGAGGTCTTTCCATTTTGAGTTTACTTGGTGTCCTGACCGATCCGAACCTCCCATTTGAACATTAAAATGCGCTAGAACCCTCTCCCAAAATGCATCGAACCTTTGTTGATTTCCGCGTTGTTTATCTTTAGAAACATCGACATATGCCCTAGCCAAAGCCAACTCTTCGCGTTCCACCCATTTCTTTCGCTTCTGGCGGTGTGTATAGTTGCATTTTTTCTCAGCAACGGGTTGCAACTCCTCGCTGGTTTCTTATTCGTTTCTTTCGGGAGTCGGGTCGTCACTAGAACTGTCAGATTCTTCATTCTGAGCATCACGAAACTGGAAATTCTCGGGTTGAGAAGATTTGAATTGGGTTTCTGGAACCCTTTGAGAAAACTGATTCCATGGATTATAACTCTGATTTTCCTCTGGAAGCCTAAATGTGTTGTAAGATTGTTGCACCGGGAAATATTGTTGTTGGTAGTTTTGGTTTTGTTGGTAGTTTTGGTATTGCTGATAGTTTGGATTTTGAAAATCTTGAGAAAAAAATGGAATATCTTGACTTGAACCGCATTGTGTGGATTTACGTTTTTGGCTAGAACCGGTTTGTTTAGATTTGCCTCGGGAATCCATTGAATGTAACTAAAGGAATCGAATGAAATATAAAATTTTCTAGAGTAAAAACACCACTAATAAATGAAATATGTATTATGTATTTATAAACTTCTAAAACAAAATAAATAAAAAAATAATTAAAAAGAATCTGTGACTATGGTCA